GCAGTTCTGAAAGCAAAAGCAGTGCTGTGTGGTTAAAGGGCTGACCAGAAAGCCTAATAATATAGATTAATTTATACACTCCTCTACAAACTTTTCACGTAGCCATGGGCAGGTTGACTGTTCTCATCTTGGTTTCCCTATCTTTCACAAGAGGCTCATATTTTCCTTCTTGTTTGTGTTGTGAGGAAAGAAATTTCTAATATTTTGGAAGTATTATTAAGTCCTCTGTGGAAAGGAAGATAGAGAGGCATTGCCAGGAAGACCGAGCCCTTGCTTTAGAAAGATGACTTGCAATTTCAAGGAAGAGGACAGAACATCAGAAGTCAAAAAGGCATATTGAAATTTTCAAGAAGCTACGCTGATTCAGAACATGTTATGTTTGCAGCTGCTGGGGTGTGAAACTTCTTCCGCGATGTGGCGACCAGCATGAATTACTTAATTGCTCATAACAAATACAGATGGACAGAAATCAGGGTGAAATGAAGGGCAGGGACATTTGCAGATTGACAGAGAGAACCTTCCACTACATGCTGCTTGGAAATAAATGGATCTTAATCAGCTCTTCTGCCTTTCTTTATCTTCAGAAAAGCTTTAGAGTTAATATATTCCAGCGGAAGACTACAATGCTTTTAGGAAATGCATGTTGTTTTATGAGAATCTGTCTGTATTTTAAGGAGGTTGCCTAAAATGCTAATGTTTCTCTTTTCATCATGATTCATGAAGCTTGTGGCTTTCAAATTTACCATTTCAGTTTCAATCATGGGAATTGGATTATTTCATTCCCTGTCCCTTCTCTGGTGTTATCAATCAAGAAATTTCTTGTTTCCAGCCTACATGAACATGATGCCTGTATTCCTTGCCTGATGAGCCACGTTGTTTTTGAGTCAGGATTGAGTTCCCTGCCTATTACGTGCAGCAGCACCGGTAGCAGTGCTAGGCATGGAAAGTACTCCCAGTGGGAAGATATTCACACATAGCTTTTAGTCTGTTAATATAAAAAAAGCAAAGGGGATGAAGATGGTGTCTCTAAAACACGAGTGGAAAGGTCATATTGCACTTTCACCCACAGGTGATGGTGATATCTAAATCCATGTAGTAAATCATTGAAACTAATGGTCATACAGGCAAGGCATTGAAAATCAACTTCTGTATTATAGAGAACAAACAATGTAATACCTTCCTTACGTGTGCCCTGTACATTTCTAAAGGTTTAGGTTACTAGCTGGTGGAGACGGGGGTTTCATAGTACTCCTGCAATCTGTGCACTTTGGTGCAGTGTGAGGACTTGGGATGGATATCCAGGAGAGGATCAGCTGTAGAACCAGCTAAGCAGTGCACATGATTGAGCTAAGATAAGGCATGCTCGCTGTTGCAGTTGTTGTTTGGCTGCATATGACTGAACAACGCATTTTGCTGGCATAGTCACTTCTTCAGTTGATTGGGATTGTCACGCCACGATCCCGAGATGCTGTAGTTACTCAGAGAGGTTTCTGAAGAAAAAAAGAGTGTAGAGAACCATTCGTTTCATAGTCTAAAAATAAATAAAATCAATTTCAGAAAAAAATAAACACCCCCACCGCCACCACCCCCGATGTGCTTAAATGTCATAACTTTGTATTACATGACAAAGAATGACCCTTTTAACCTTTAAAGGATGTATTCAGGAAAGGTCTTATCATTGCCAATCAAACTCAGACAAAACCCCATCAATTCATACTGATGAGCTCTTGTTTATTTATATGTCATCCCTTGCTCCTAAATTATTAGAAGGAATTTATATATTGCCTCAAGTACACAACATTAATCTTTGCTTTTCTGCTGTCCTTTCCATGTTGAGCACCACAACAACAGAACAGTAATCATAAAAAGTACCACTAATAGGGGTTTGTGTCCAGACAATATATGCTCCTGTTCTCTGGCCTTCTCCTCACTAAATAGCCCAAGGGTAATGATTCAGTTACATATACTAACTACTTTCCCACAAAAGAATCACTTCGAATAGACTTGTTCCCGGCACTGACCTCAGCTTCGTGTGGGCTCTGACAGGTGAGCAGCACCAGGAAGATGCTGTTGGACAAGCACAGGCTGTTTATGAAACCAATTTTGTAACCCCCCTTTCCCAGCACTGTCATTTGCAAAGGCTGCCCTCAAGGAAGGTTATGGCAGGACAAAAGACAAGATGATTTTGAATAGAAAAGAAAGTTTATATTTTATTTATTTCAGATAAGCCCTAATGGATGGTCTTGTGAGGAGCAGATGTGCGACTGGCCTAAACTGTGGCAATCTTAAGCCAAGCCTACTGAGCTTGCAAGAACTAAGATTTCATAAAGAATTTCAATTTTGAAGTTTTTAATATGTGTTATTAAGTGTCTGTCAGAGGTTAGCTTTCTGTTTTGTTTGGGGTTTTTTTAAGAGGTAATGTAAGCTCAGAATTAAGATGCTGATAGACTTCACTGTGTTGTTAGAAAGGGAATTTCAGGTTCCATCAGGAAGAGAGGTCAAGTGAGACAAACTTCAGAGTTGTGCCTGGAAATCTTGGTCCTGCTAATTTAACTCTTCCGTTTAATGGCAAAATTCACACTGATTTTAGTGGGGTAAAAAACATTCCTTAGTTTGGTATATAGGATGTGGGGATGCTTGTGTTGCCCGGTGGGACCTATGAAAATTCGTTCCATCAGCTAGTCATTGGGGTAGGTCTGAGGAGTTGCTGGCATCTTGCAGCTGAATAAAGCTATTTAAATTCAGCTCATTTAAAGCAGGTTGTTAGGGTATGTTTCCATTAGGACAAGCAAGAGCTGTTACCCAGAGCCAGCAGTCGCAAGCTAAAATGGAAGGGTTTTGTAGAGCTGACACAGACAGCTGTGCAGCGCTTCTGAGAGGCGTGTTGTGCTGTTATTGAAGATGACATGAGAAACAGTAAACATTTTATGTTTTTATCTATCTCTCAAATTGAGCCCAGGCCTTCACAGAGTGAAAAGTTGGAAGACACTGTGCCATCAAAGATGTTTACATTTACTGCTTGCTTTAGAAAGCACTCTAAGAAATTCCCAAGGAGCAAACTAGTGTTGCCTATGGGAAGTAAGAGTCTCTGCAGGAAATGCATTTTTTTTCCTTCACCAGACCGCCTTGAACATATTCAAATTCTTTATGGGGAGTTTTTGTTTGTTTTTTTTTTTGAGTGGGACAGTCACAAAACCTAAAATAAAAATATTTTTTTAAGATGTGTATCTTGTTAAAAGGGTCCTGGTGGGCTGAAGGCCTGGTAATCTTTATGCTGTCAGAGGGACTCCTTGCAAAAAACAGTGATAATCCACAGGAACTTGTTATAGTTTCAGGAGACAGGTTGTGTTCTGCAACTCATTCTTGCATAAGAATTGCTATAATGAACTCAGTCCTGAGTAAACTGCCTTCCCTTGAATCAAATCATTTGGTCCCAACACACGTACAGACTTTGTGGACACTTAGCATTTTGGATAAGGATTTTTATAAATCTCTGATGATTCTAATTTATTACCGTTCACAAATTTCACTGAATCTGCACTGCTGGTATTGGTGGTTCTTTTGAACCACTGTGGGGAAAGAGTAAAAACTAACAGAAACTGAAAAACAGTCAAAGGCCAGCCAAGGAGAAAAGCTGCTGCAGAGACTGGTGGATGATTCACGGTTTTCAAATCTTCCCCCTGTCATAAGCATTCTGTTTCTTCAAAGAAAGTGAGATCATTGCTATGCAAAAAAAAAAAAAAAAAAAAAAGTTTCAAGAAGGAAACAAATGTTTGGAGAGCTGACTTGGCTAGAATTTTCCCTTCACATATACTCTTGACATATCAGTGCTTAAACTTTCTATGCGTGCATGAGGGGGGGACAGGGAACAATCAAATGTTAGTAAAGATGCCCCATCTGTTCCGTTATTTGAGCGTGTAAAGATGCTCTTTAGCTCTCATAGTCCTTGCTATTTTTGTTGCCAGGTGGTCTCCCTGCCTAGATTTCACATCAAAACAACTGTGAAGATTTTTTTTCCCCAGCACATGCAGGAGGAGGGATCCCAGTAGTCCCATCCTTTTTGCAGCATTTTTGCAGAAGGCAAATATGCGATATAGCCAGGTCTTAAATGAAGTGTTCCTTACTCGTTTATTTATGAAATAAATACAGGTCAACCCCAGGCACCCATGTCAGGTGTGGTACTCAGTCCCCACCTGCAGAGCACAAAATGCTTCACTCCAGCCTCCTACCCTCCTCCCACTCTCCGTGCTCCCTGGAGCACTCAGAAACGTCCTTGTCAAAAATCATCTGACAAGGTCACCATCCAGATACCAGAGAGGAAAATGAAGTGTCCTATGCCCCAGCCATGTACCTGCAGTGCATTTATTCTCTCTGATACCAGGATGTCTGCATGCCTCAGCATCCTGGAGGTGCTGATTTTCACACACACCGCCTCTGGACAACAAGGCACTATGGCCCAAACTACACATGGGAAGCTCAGAGGGGCACAGTGACTTGCCCAAGATCATGCAGGGGATCACAACCAAGGTGAATCCCCCATCGTGTCTGTGCTGGAGCAAAGCATAGAGACTGCTTTGCATATCGGTTCGAGCAGGTACATCCGTTGGATGCAGTGGGGTAATGGATGGAAATGAGAAGGCAGGATTTAAACAGACGTTGTGCTGGTACCCAGAGACTAGAGCTGTTAGGCACAGAGTTGCGCTGAGGCCATTTTACAACTTCTAATTCCCGAGAAAATTGTCACAAGTCACTTGGGTGCATCTGCGCTGAACTTCATTGTGTGGTGAAATGGTCACCAGCTCTTTCTCCCCAGCCCGAGCTAGTACCTTAATTTTTGGATTGCGCTCCCTCTGAACCATCCTTACTCAAATCATCCTGGGTCAACACATGCTGAAGATCTCACAGATCAGTAGCATCTGGAATTAAGAATATTATGAACCTCTGATGATGCTAATTTATCACTGTTCACACATGCTGTTTTTCTGTCTTCCCCACTGCAGATCTGCGCAGGATGACAGCTGGCTTCATGGGCATGGCTGTGGCCATCATCCTCTTTGGATGGATTATTGGGGTGCTGGGGTGCTGTTGGGATCGAGGCCTTATGCAGTATGTGGCGGGGCTTCTCTTCCTCATGGGAGGTAAGGATGTTGATGTTTGAAGAAATGTGTTTTTCTTGTTGTTTTCATGTTCCCCTCTTTCCACATGTCCCTCCTTTTCTAAATCACTGAAAACATGCCTTCAGAGTTGTTTTGGGTGATCTGGACTTGGTTTCATTCTGAGCTCCTTCTGGTGTACCCCAGTGATGGCCCAACAGTACTTCTATCACAAAACAGTGTCCATAAATCACAGGACTAAAAATGGCCTTCTGAGTTGTTTAGTCCAGTGCAGTATTGTTGCAAGTAGCACTGTCACCCTTAAACTTAATAAGCTTAATAGATTTAGTAATAAAAATCTGAAAAATATGCAGATATTATTCCCACCACTACCCTATTCCATAGTGGGACACTTTACTTTGATAACTAGATACTGTGCTCAAAGCTTTAGCCTATATTTATTCCTCATCAGTTGTTCTTGAGTCAATAGTAACCTTTAGTTTATGTGTCTCTTTTCTTTCTCTGATGTACCTATGAAGAGCAATGGTATCTTCTGTTTTCCTTTTCCCACTCTACATATGCTATTTCTTGTAGACTTTTCTCTGTAAAACCAGTTACAAGTCCAGCAGCCCTTTCTGCCACCTCTTCTTGTTTGTACTTGCCTTTCTCAAATATGGATAAGAAGGACCATTCCCAAACAAGGTCTGATCAATGCCTTGTATAAGTGACATGATGGTTCCCTTTCTCTGCTGGAAATCGTATGCCTGAAGTATTCTGTGGTTGTATTTGCCTTTTTCATGATGTCTCACACTGGAGATCCACAGTCATCCTTCTGTTGGCTAATACATCCAGGCCTTTTTCTTCTTTTGAAATTTCCTACTGATGATCTCTCACTTTTCAGCAGGCGTTCTGTTTATTACTCCCCAGGTACATGCCCTGGCGCTCTGTGCTTTTGAGTTTCTTCCCATTTCTACTATACCAGCCCTCAAGGTCATCCAACATTTCCTGTGTAATGTTCCAGCCTTTTTAACTACAGAGGCCATCCAACATTCTGCCATCAGCAAGTTTCATGGCACACAGCTACTTGAAATGAAGGGTGTGAGAGTCAAGTCCCAACCACAGCACTTGGGTGAATGTCTCAAAGTGAACAGCATCACTTCTGTTCTCTCTTCTTTTCTCTGCTGGTGGTTCTTGTTTGCTGGGGTTTTGCCTCCCAGGTGGATCATCACTTCAATGCATTTGGTAGCCCGTTCGTCTGTACTGCGGTGTGACACAGCTTAAGTGTGTGAAGTACAGCAAAGCTTCTGTAGTCCCACAAGAGGAGTTAAGTGCTCGAGTAGCAAGTATTAATGTTCCAGTGCTATTGGTGTTGGTGACAGAGACATTAGGGCTCTCAGTGCCCACAAACACATTTGAAGTCTTGCCGGTACCTTGTGCAAGCACACGCTGGTCTACGTGTGGACGTCTGCAAATGGTTTGTTGTGGGTGTCAGTACTTTATGGGCAATGGGTCTGCCAAATGGGTTTGGTATTTCTTGTGTGATTAAAAGCTTAGTTTGCACAGGGGGACTATTTTGTTCTAATACGCCATGACATTCAGATTAAAACATTAGGACTATACCAAATAAATACGGAAATCTTAAATTTATTAGAATCTAGCTAAGTCTTGTTTACTAGTTGGAAATCGTCACTATATATGGGAGAATTCCTAGTGCAGCTGCAGAGATTACTTATTGGCTTAATGTTACTTGTTTCTCGGTGATTTGAAAGATGTCTGATAAAAGTTTTCAGGTGAAACAAGACTCAGTGTAACCATGCATAACGGGATGGGTTACTCATAGCTTACAAAGCCACCTTTTGGTACACTCAAACAATACACACATTTCAGTAGAGACAGATCCAAGGTCATGCAGCTGGAAACAAAAAGTGTCAGTCATCCTCGCAGAATGAGAGTCTGCCTCACAGAAAGCAGCAGCTCTGAAAAGGTCTCTGGGATCATGGTCGCTGGGATCATCCAGCTGCAGAGGAGCTCTCAGAGCAATGTAGCTGCTAAATGTGCCAGTTTGGATGGGAATATGCAATAAGAGCATGAGGTAGGGTTATCCCTGGGCAAAACAAAACTATTTCTGGACATCCTAATCTGGTGTTCGTACTAAAGAAGGACGTGGAAAGGTTGGAAGAGGTGTGCAGAAGAACTACAGGAATGACTCAAGGTCTGAAAAACGAGGGAAACTCATTATGCCACAGAAAGCCAGTTGTTTGAAACTGTTTAACAGAAGGTTCATAACTGACTCGAACACAGTGTGGAAGTACCTGTGCAAGGAGGAGCTATCTAATAGTAGCGTGCTCTTTGACTGCATAGACAAAATAATATCAAGGTCCAGCAGTTGGAATCTGAAACTAATTGAAATGAGAGGCACCAAATGATTCTATCTGCCAAATTCTGTCAAGATGTGTGATATTTTAATAAAGATGTGTTGGGAGGAGATCAAACTTATTTTCTGCTTCAGTGTAGACACATGGAACAGGGTTACAAAATGTTACTCTCTTTCTTGTTTTGCACCAGTCAGTGGCAACTGCTATACTTTTCCTGATTTCTTTTAACAGCTAAGGTACATAAAGTAATATCTACAAACTGAAGCAGTCAGTTAGTAAAATACACAACTAGAGCCATCTAATCTAAAAGTCAGTAGCTGTAAGTGTTTCCAGACTGTGTCATATGTTACATAGCCATTCCTTCTACAGCCAAGGCATCTTTTAATTTGAAACTTTTTATTGCTGGATGGTGTTTGAATACAAAGCAGTTACTTCTGTCATGACATAAATGTTGTGACCATATCATCCTGTTGGTCCTCAAAGTGCACGGAACCAGAGTGCCTCTTAGTTTTGCCTAATTTTTTCTCTGATCCAATAATGGAAAAAATGCTTTGGGAGGTTTACGACATCTGACCTAACGGCAGTTGAGAGGACACTGTGTTAAAATGGTAGCTATGTAATCAGCCTGAAATTTAACTTTCCCTTCCATTTGCAACACCACTTGTCTTGGCTATGTTTGTAGCATTTGTTCTGCTTTAATTTCTAGACAAATATCTCTTCTGTAATGCTTAAACATTCCTGTCTTACCATATCTATGGGTTTTGTCCCTTATTGTCCATAATTCTTTGAACAGGAAATCTCAGTGGAGCACTAAGAAGTGTGCTGTGATAATCTAACAAGACCAGACGTGATTTCTTTGGACCTCTGGTTCTTTATTATATTTACTGAACAGTCTTCTTGCTAGTCCATGTGGCAGTGCCTAATAAGGACTTGCTTTAGTGTGCTTGATCTAATTTCTCAAGCAAATTGCTGAAATAAGTCATTTGTGAAATGCAGGCCGTTAGCTGTTATTAGCTCATCTGGAATCCATGACATGTAAACTGTGATTTAGTGTGTTTTACACTGTTATTCAGCATGTTTTGTAACAAGTTAAAAATTATCAAGAATTCATCTTTTCTGTTTAGTCCAAGTGTATCTGTATCAACAGCAATCACAGATCTCTTATGGTTTCCAAAGTTCTTGTGCATAATTTTCTGTATTTATTATAGAATTTGTAGTTTGATTCCTCATCTTGAACGACAGCATTTGCCTGACCACAGCAGGTTTTTTTTCAGCCCCTCATCTTGTACAGAGCTAGATACTGCAAATTATGTTTAGCATTTTTGACCTCATTTTGAATGATGGTACTATTTCATAGCCTCCTGTACCCAGAGTTGCACTATCTGCTGTAGTTTCATTTCAGTATCGTCGGTATGGTTTTATTCTGCAAGGTGGGGGAATTTCTCTTTCTGAGAGTTTCCCCATTTGAAATTGTGCTCTTAAGTTTCACTAACACTAGTTCATTTTATGCATCTTATTTGAGACTGTTTAATTCTATTACAGAAGTGGGTCATACTCAAATTATACATGACTCCAAGCACATGCTCTTGCAGTTTCTCGTGCTTTCTCTACATGCAAATTGTTGAAAATCTGTGCACCAGTAAAAGCTCCGTGCTAAGCATGCCGTCTAGTAATTTTGCAATTTTATAATAATTTCTGGAACCTAAGAAGCATCTGTAACACTACTCCCAGAAGTCAGAGTCCTGTGACAGACCTGATGCTTTCATCAAGTACCTAGTAGTAGTCTAAAAGGAGTTCAGTTAAACATCTACCTGAGGAATTGCATGTGGGGCATTTGATATGTTGTGTTTTGACCAAAGTATATTTTCTTGCACCAAAACCATGCTTTTGCTTTTTGAAGTCTAGACGTGATCTCCTCATCAGTTCCCAGGAAGTAGTGCTCACATTTTCTGGCTTTGAGGAGTTCTTTTGAACGTATTCGATCCTTTGACTTGTTTGGTTTTACTATGATGGCAAACCTGTCGATGCATTTGGTTGTTGTCTTTAGTTCCTCAACAGTATCTAATATTATTGCCAGGTCAAGGTCAAATTTCAGTTTTACTTCCAGCTCCAAAGAGGTGGGAAGCCATGAATTGGCACACTGGCAACTCTACCAAAGCAAATTTCCGTATCTTCAGGAATCCCTCCTTTCATTTCTTCATCAAGTTGTTTATGGATATTTCCTGTATCATGATAAGCAGAGAAGCTATATATCCATCTAACTATTGGGTTTTCCACCTCCTCTCCAGTGCATTCATTCATTCATAGGATTTTTTTGTTTCAGCATCTCAGATTCTGCTAGGTTGATTGTCCTTCCACAACCATGCAAACCCAGCCTCAGCACACCTTCTGTTATTGTACTTGCTTTATAAAATCAGCTTTTAAAGGCGATCTCTGATAGCCTGCTGTTTTCCAGGTTCAGCTCTGATTTAATTTCAGTCAGCTGTTTTGAAACATCACGTAGTTTGCTTTACTTCTAGTTTGGAGGGCAGGGCTAACTTTGTACCTAAATGCTCCAAAGCCCTTTTCCTTCTCCTCAGTGCCTGCCGTGGGGAAAGTGGGGTGGCAGGGCTGTCCTACGATGGCACGCTCCAGTGTTCCAGCAGTGGTTGCATCCTCCCCTTCCCTACC